GATACTATGTATGATACTATGTAAATAATTACCTTGTGTAAATCACAACCTCACTGCCAGTAGTATGATTGTATAACTTAAAATATTCTAATTGACATGAATCTTCCTCCTCCAACAAATAAAGTACATGAAAAGTTCCCTTGCCTCATGACACTAGCAGCCAGTTTGTTATCAAGATCTGTGTGAAATCCTTCTTCCACTTCAGAACTTTCTATAGACATAAGTGGTTCAGTAATGAGCGTGACGGGATTAAGGGTTATGGCTCTCCACTTAATGCTGAAACTGTGTCAGACTTCCTTCTTGGCTGCTTCAAAACAATCAATTCAAGAAACAATCTCGGAGTTCTGTGAAACATGTTTATTGGAAGGAAGGTTAAAAGTTATAACCCCCCAAATTCCAGTGATTACTTTCAAGTGAGGTACTTACATATAGGCAGTTGAGACAAGCAAAACACTTGTTCATTTGTTCATGTTTGTTTCAATGCAGTGGGCTGGAAACTTGTCTCTTCCATGAAGAAGTCTGCATGTGTTCCCTGTTTTAATACCTGCAGACTCTTTATCAGTGTGAGAAGAATCTCTCACAAATTCTTTAGCATTCCTCATAATTGGCAATGGCTAGCTGGAGGTACTAAGAGCTGTACTTCAACAAGTACAACTGAAAAATCACGATTCTGTCAAGTGAGTAAAAGGAATGATGCTTATATCTGTCTTATGTTTATATCTGCCTTGTACAAACATTTTTAATGGGAAATGTTCATGAACAGATTTATGGGGGGGGGGGTGCCAAAAATGTTTTGCAGTACAAGGTTTGCTCCCAATCAATCAAGACAGGCATTTCTCCAGGCAGATTATCTGATCTGACAGGGCTTCAACACAGATCCATGGAGATCTAGCCCTCCAAGCCCAAGCTGACTGTGCTCATGGCTGGATCACTGTTAGGAAGATGGCCTAGAAGGGCTCTGGCACAATGCTGCAGGGATAGAGACTTGAATGCCTTATAGCAGAGGTCCCCAATCTTTTGGGCACCAGGGACCGGTTCCGTGGAGAAAGGTTTTTCCACAGACTGGAGAGTGCGTGGTTTTGTGTGCTGCCTGCATCTCACGGATGGAGCTTTGCTTGTTTGTGCAGACTGGTTGTTGGCATGCTGCGGACTGGGACCGGTCCATGGACTGGACTGGGGGTTGGGGATCCCTGCCTTATAGTATGCGCAGCTGGGAACGAATCACTGCCAGAGTTTATTCCCACTCTGCTTGGACAGGTCAGGATCTCACACAGCTGTTGCTGTAAAGATATTGTTCCAAAATAAGGGATAGGAGAAGGGAAGAGAATAGCTATCTTGAAAGCACAACCTGAATTTCAGGAGTTGTACAGACTGGCAGGCTCATCCTTTCCATTGAGTGGTATAGTTTTGAATTTAATTGCTTTGTTTTTTACTTCAAAGGGAAAGTGTTTGTTTTTTTTTGAGCTAGTTTTCAATTCCAGACAACTGCCTGGAAAGTCCCTACAGTTTTCTAGGCAATATTTCAGAAGTGTTTGCCATTGGCTGCTTCCTAGGGCTGAGAAAGAGTGACTGGCCCAAGGTTACCCAGCTGGCTAGAATTCACTCTCTCTTGGTTTCTAGCATGATGCCTTAACCATTACAACAAACTGGCTCTGTTTTGTTAGGTGACAGGACTCTATAATTGTTTCATTTGCTATACAGATTGAAAAGAGGGTAGGTGTATTTCTTCTCACATGGATGCCTTTGTCATTTGGGGGCATGGTGGTGCAGCAAAATTTGCAAACCCAACTTAATCTGTAACTGTCTACAGCACTCTATTTGACTTCACTTACACCTCTTTTGAATTCACTTAAATGATATGCAGGATCTTTTTTAGCATTTCTCAGCCATGTCTAGGTCCTGTAGAGTTTGTGTGTTTCCACACTTGCTCTGCATTAAGACAGTCAATTGTTCAAACAGAGATCATGATCTCTTACTATAGCAGTGGTGGCGAACCTATGGCACAGGTACCAGAGGCGGCACTCAGAACCTTCTCTGTGGGCACACGCGTTGTCACCCCAGTCCTAGGCCTTCAGCTGGGTTTTATAAAACTTTTTGCTTTAGGCCTCCGCTGCCATGTGCAAAAAAAAAAAAAAAAGGTTCAATCAGTCAATTTCAACTTCTCGTGGGGAAAAAAAAGTTCTTGCAAAGTTGGAATTGATTGATTGAACTTTTTAGTCCCACCCAGTCCGCTGTTACCACTGCAGCCACGCCTACCCAATTGGCCACGCCCAGTCAATGGACCACACCCAGCCAATGGGCCACACCCACCCGGCACTCGACGATGCATATGTGGGTTTTGGGTTGCAGTTTGGCACTCAGTCTCTTAAAGGTTCGCCATCATTGTACTATAGCAATCTGATTTTACTAAGCAAGATACAGATAGCACCATGTCTCTCTATCTCATTACAGCTAGTCCTTGCTTAGCGATCACTAGTGGGACTAGCAACTTGGTCACTCAGCTGAAAATCATGTGACTATGACTGGGCTTACATCTTACTTCCCCTTTGATCATGAAGTGAATGATACAGTCACTAAGTGAACCATACCTGCGCTTACAATTTTTGCCCAGTGAAATTGCATGCTGGCTGCAAAGCATGTGAAGGGCAATGTGTGAATGGTCACACAAGCAAACTTTACATAAAAGTAAAAAAAAAATGCACACCAGGTTCCAGACAAATGTTAAGGGGTAATAACTGTAGACAGGAAATATAGTAGAAACAATGTATATATTTAAATGTGCTTTACATATAGCATAATATTGCACTGACTCATTCTTTGATAATAGTGTTAAGACTGTTACAACGGATTGACTTAATCCTGATAACTAAGAAGACTCAAACTAGATGGATTTTTTTAAAATTATCTTTCTTGAAACTGGGAACATAAAATATTTCCAAGTATGGTTAAGATATTTTCACGCCATCTAGACAGCTGAAACCTCATAACAAATTGCTTCACAAAAGTAATGCAAAACACCAGCTGCTGGGGATTGATTCAAGCAGCCTCAGATGAAGGAGGATTAGCAAAGACAAACCAAGGGGGGCAAAACCTTAATTCCTACAACTAGCTTTTAAGTTCAAATGACCACAGGAATCTGTTTATCTTTCAGCAAGGATTACCATGTGATGTAGTCCTAATATTCTGGAAGCAAGTGTTTATGATTGTATAATGCAAATTACTTTAAGCAGTAGTTCAAAAATGTCAGGATTCAGTGGCTTGCTTTCTTATAAGGCTATTAACTTTTCCAACTAATTAGAAACATGTAATGTTGGATATAAATAGTCCAAGGTACTGGGCCTGCTAGAAATATCTGTTCCCAGAACATTTTTTAAAGCTCATAATAAGCAGTTGTAATAAAATAAGCCACACAGAGACAAAAAGTGAATTTTCTTGACTAATTCTAAGGTGACCAACCGTCCTCCTTTAGGGAGGACAGTCTTCCTTTTGTGAGTTCTGTCCTCCCTCGAAAAGTGTCCTCCTACATGTCCTCCTTTTCAATATTTGAAGACTAATCTGCA